TATCTTGTTGACTGGATAATTAAACTAAAAAGCAACATCTAGAGAAAGAGAAGGAAAACAGAGAGTAGTAATACCCACGGTGTCAAGGAAGGTGGGGTGTCAGAGAGAGAGAACTAGGGGCACCACTACCCCAGGACTCAGGTTTCCACTTCCTCCCCCATCAGAGCTGGGTCCCAACAGCTGTCCAGCTGGTCTCAGAGAACAGTGAAAGGTGCTGGGAGGTTGGCAAGAAAGGTGTGTATTATAGACTCTCTTCTGCTATTCTGAGTGGCAGTGATTATTGTTGTTTATTCATAGTTTACTAATTAGCTCGTGAGAAATCTGCACAATTACCACTGATTAAGTCATTGAAGAATCTTTACTCCTTCTTTTTGCACCAGTATTGGCCTTTCCTGTAGCCCTGATCTTCATTCTGTTCTTGCATTCCATTCGCTGTTTTCTTGGGGTATTTTTCTTCTGTAGGTCGTGTCTTGCAAGCTTGTGTTTGGGTTCATCTTTCTTTACATTCAAGGAATCACAAATAATGTCAAAGCCAGTTGTTTTACCACCACCAAAGTGGGTTCTGACTCCAAATATAAGATGAAATCTGGCTAGTTTGTCCCAAATTTCTGTCTTAGCTACCACTGCCTCCCCAGGGGGAAGGACATCAATGACTATGTAGTTGATTAGCCAGTACTTCCTGATCCAGGGAGTTACTGTGTCATTCATGGGAGAGGTTGATCCTCAGGCAGTCAGGGAGGATAAGAGTGCAGTGATATTTCTAACCCTGAGATCCAAGAGACTCAAGTGAATCCCTTTCATGCTCCAAAACGGCCACCATGCCAACAGGCTAACTGAGGCCGTCAATGCCAACCAGGTCTCTCTTCTCCGAAGATCTGCCGTCTGGATGGAGAGGCAGCCCTTCTTTCTCCCTCCTCCTCAGCTCGAGCTCCTTGCTTCTCCCCGCCATCGACGCCTCTCCAATCCTTCCCACCTACCAGGTACCAAACCAGAGCCCAGTGCTTACAACAACCCTGCCTCCCAATTTCATAGGTGAAGCTAGAAGCAGAAGGTCTTGCCCCAAATCACAAGTAAATGACAGAGCTGGGGTCTGAAGCCAGGGCTGTCTGTAACCAAGTCCAGTGTGCCTTCCCATGCTAGCCTAGGCCACCATCTCCCCAGAAGTGACATTTGACCAGGAATGGCAACACCTGAAGTTCCCCAGGTGACCACCAGATGGCTGTGAGCCCTCAGTTCCAGGTGAGACTTCTTTACTGTGGGTGGAGGCTCTCAAGGGAGGTTTGCGTGAGACCCAGATAAGATCCACATAACTCCTTGGCCAAGCACAGAGAACCTGGGCATCGCCAGTGCAAGCATTCTTAGCACAGACCCATTCACTCACTGACAGCTCCCTGGGCTTGGGTTTGAGTGGGGGCTGTGGACAGAGATGATCTGGTCACATCCTGCATTTTCAACATTCAAGAAGTATTTATTGAGCATCCGCTATTTGCCAGGCATTGTTCTAGGCACAGAGGACACAGCAATAAACAAAAATTCCTGCCTTCTTCTTGGAGCTTCCAGTCTAATGGGGAGAGACGGACAATCACAAACAGATACTTAATATGATATCGAGTAGGGACCCCTCGAGGGTCTCACAGACCAGTGGGACAGACAAACATGTACACAAAAAATCACACACGACACAGTACGGTTATTTCATAAACACCTATTTAGCCCTATGTGTGTTGGGAATTAACTATGGAAGAAGATAGACTTTTTTTTTTTAATCCTCACCCAAGAATATTTTTTTCCATTGACTTTTAAGGAGAGAGGGAAAGACAGAAAGAAACACCAATGTGAGAGAAACACATTGACTGGTTGCCTCCTGCACAAGCCCCAACCAGGGCCAGGGCTGGGGAGGAGCCTGCAACCAAGGTAAGTGCCCTTGATCAGAATTGAACCCGAGACCCTTTGGTCCTCAGGCCAGCGCTCTATCCACTGAGCCAAACCGGTAAACTGGCTAGGGCAGAAGACAGACATTTTTCATGCCTTCATGGAACTTACTAGTACAGCCTAGGGAAGAAATGAGTAATCTGATTTATGTTCTGAAGGAAAAAGGAGGTGTCATGATGTAGAATAACCAGGAGCCCTCTTTTAAGTAGGGAGACCACGGAGTGAGTCCTTTGAAGAGAGAATAGAAGAGTTTCAAGGAGCGAGCACAGCAAGTGCAAAGTCTCTGAGGAGGAAAAGAGTTGAGGAATAGAGAGGAGGCGAATGAGCTGAGGGGTAGGAACTGAGCTCAGGGAGGTGGGTGGGGTAAGGGGCTGAGGGTAGGGAGGGGAAGATCATGTAAATCATGGGGGCCATTGGTGGGCTTAAGCAGAGAGGGATATGATTTGACTTTCATGTTCCAAGGATTGCTCTGCCTGCTAGGTGGGAAACAGACTGGAGTGGGGGAGCAGAAGCAGGAGCCCTACTAGGAGGCCTGCAGTCACCCAGCAAGAGATGGTGAGGAGGGGAGTGCTCTGGTGCAAGAAAGCAGATGGATTCAGCTCTACCAGCTAGATGAGTGCTGCAGCAGCTCAGCCTCGCTCTGAGGCAGTGACACAGGGCTTCCTGCAGGAGGTGGCCCTTTAGTGGTGTCATGAAGGATTAGCTTGCCAGGCAGATGGAGTCAGAGAGAAAGAGGACTCTCCAGGACAGAACAGCTATAGGATAAAGGCGAGGAGGCATAAGAGGCAAGGAGTGTTGAGGGAGGGGCTAGTCTATTTTCTTGGGGAGAGGAAGGTGTTGGGGTAAGCCCAAGACATGCTGGAGAGACTTATAGAGCCAGGAATTAAAGGGTGGTGGAGGCCAAGCCATGATTAACTGGAAGGGACATGGTCACATCCATGGTTTCAATAGAGCCCTGCACTGTGAGGGCCAACTTGGGGACGGGCCCGGAGGCTGAGGCAGTGAGGCCAGCAAAGAGAAGGTGAGGGAATAGGATCAAGGAGATATGTAGAGGCAGGGGGTGAGGATGAGACCATGGTTTCCACTCGGGTGACAGGGGATAAAGGGACCCTCCTCGGTGGGGAAGAGGGACCAGATGGTTTCAGGGGCCTGAGGCCCACTCAGGTGGAGGTGCCCAGGAAACAGATGGACCAGAGGAGGCATAGCAGGGGGGAAAGCAGCCTCTGGCCATTGGGTCCTGGCCTACATCCTGACACACACACACACACACTCACACACACACCCGCCACTGAATCGTGTGCCCCTGGGGCAGGTGATGCTACTTCTGAAACCTGCAGTTTGGTGATAACAAAACCCATACTAAGAGGGTAGTGGGAATTAGATGAGAAGCTGCAAGTAAAAGCTCTTTGTAGAATGTACATTCTTCTGGGAAGGGAGCTGGGGAGAGAGCACGAGGCTGGAGATGGAGTGATACTCGTTGGCTTTCAAATGAGCATTGATGGCAGAGGAATGACTGAGCTGACCCCAGGAGAGGCAGAATAGGGTTCAGGACGGAGCTGGGCCACTAGCGATGAAGGAGGAAAAGAAGCAGAGGGGGGAAGAAAGGGAGGGGAGAGGAAAGGAGAAGGGGGAGAGGAAGAGGAGGCCCTGGCCAGTGTGGTTCAGTTGGTTGGGCCTCATCCTGTGCACCGAAAGGCTGTCAGTTAGATTCCTGGTAAGAGCACATGCCCAGTTTCAGGCTTGGTTGCCAGTAAGGAACATGCAGGAGGCAGCAAATTGATGTTTCATTCTGAAAATTAATAATAATTTTTTTTAAAAAAAAAAAAAGAGGACGAGGAGGCATTCTCTAAGGAACCTGAGAAGTGGCTGTAGTGGGAGAAGGACCAGAAGAGGTCGGTGCCAGGGCAGGAGTCAAGGCAGAAGGGAAAGTGTGAAGAGGCTCGACTGCCGGTCACAATGAGACCGGTGACTTGGTCAGAGGGCGCGGTGGGCTGGAGGCAGACATGGTGCGCGGAGGGGCAAAGAAAGGGGGGTGCAAAGATTGAAGCCAGGTGGCAGCCGGAGCCGGCCCGGCTGGAGGGCGCACTTCACAGGGCCCGCTGCGCCGAGCCCGGGAGGCAGGACAGTGACCTTGCTCCCGATACAGATGTTGTCATTAACTCGATAACTAGTCGCTCGCCTTTTCTGAGCCTCAGTTTCCGCACCTGTGAAGTAGGGATAACTCGCTACTCAGCGGTCTCCGCGAAGCTGCCCTGGGGGCCTCCAGGACCCGGTCGGCCACCAGTCCTGGACCCGCCCTCTTTTGTCTGGG